GTAGACAACCTCAAATATCCCCAATCGGGGCTCATACTAAAACACCCCAACTAAAAGAGAAACTCTCATCCTCAATTCATTCCTCTGGGTACAATGAAGAAATAACTCCAGGCCCCATTGTATTGTTTTCAGGGACCCATTTTCCAGTACAAGAAAACAACCACTCACGACTGAGGCTCCTGAAGAGGAGAGCAAGCTCACCATTCATTTACTTACCTACAACGGTACTTCCGTGGAGATACGATCCTACAACGACTCCTTCCTTGGAAAGCAATTCAAACTCGGTACTCCAAAGCAATGAAACCAAAGGGAAAGACTTCTGCTCGCTGGATCAAAGAAAAGGTAATATCCTCTGGAAAGGCTAAATTCGAAGACAGGCTTTCTATTTCGCATTCTCTGGCGGCAAGCCAACTGGAAGCAAATGGGATGAGAATTGCTGATATCCTTGGTACTGTCAAGTGCGGATTTCATGAGTTACTGTGATTGCATAGCGGATTTCACATTTCCAGTCAGTACGCTTTCAGGTGAAGCCTTGGGGCAGAGATCATTTCCTCCACCCACTCCAAATTCAAGTGCTGCAATGACGAACAGTGGGATCAACTATACCTCTTCAACTATACCTCTGGTTCTTCTGGCATATTTGATGAGACCCGTTCTTTTTATGTATGCAAATTCCTTGATTGCGTAGCAGTTATGGATATTTCCCCAATCTTTCTTGCTTATGAAACATCTTTGTAGATTGGAAGAGTTCCACTAGGACAGCAAATCAGCTACTTCGAAAAGACCAGAGCTCAGATACTGGAGAACATGGAGGAGGAAGCAGCAAGTGATTTCTTCAAGACGGCGCTCTTCATTGTAGCTGCAGGATCCAATGACATTTTGGAGTATCTTTCACCTTCAGTACCGTTCTTTGGACGAGAGAAGCCTTATCCTTCATACTTTCTGGACGTGTTGGTTTCCAATCTGACATTTTATCAGAAGGTTCTGCCAATTTATCCCTACTGTAGTTTTGTGTCGCTTGCTCTTGTTTGCTGCTGACCTCTATTTTCTTTCCCTCGATTAAGAGGCTAAATGAACTGGGTGCTCGAAAGTTTGTTGTGTCCGACGATATATCGGTTGTATACCGTACGTTCGTGCTCTGGAGTTCATGCCTACAGGGGAGTGTTCAGCATCCGCGAATCGAGTCACTGAAGGTTACAACAAGAAATTGAAGAGGATGGTCGAAAAGATGAACCAGGAGATGGGTCCAGAGAGCAAATTTGTGTACGTAAATACGAAGGAGTTTGGCAGCGCCGAAGCAGAGGAAGGAACCCGAAGCAATGGAAAGAACGACGACCTAGGAGGTAGTAGTAGTACGAAGCCGGAAGGTGCTTTGATTCAGAAGTTGAGTGAGGAGGCTTCGACCGTCGCCACAAAGATTCTTATGAGGCATGCTTCTGACGGGCTGCCACGCGGGAGGTACTGGAAGACTTTTCAAAGGGCTAAGTATAGGCACCGGGAAAGAGTGGGGGGTTGAAGTGGAGCGACGATTTCTGGTAAGTCGATTGCGGAGGAACTGAGAGGGAGAAGGCCGGGCTTCCCAGATTGTGCAAATTAGCCATTCCACTTCGGGGCCGTGTGCACATAGCATGGAGGCGATGCCTTATGCCGTGGCGTCAATTCTAGCTTCTGATGCGGGAGCTCCTAGCTGTTCGCT